TTAATTATTTATTCAAAATAAATGCAACAAGTTGTTTTTGTTTTTTTTTATTGTTTTGATATTAATTCTGACATTACAAGCCAAACAGGTAGACCTCTATACTTGCAATTTTTTCAAAGTTGAGCTACCTTCTCTTCACTGTACCATGGTACCAGGGATGTAATAACGAAAACGATTTATGTGTCCGACAACACCATTTTTTATTTATCGGAAAAATGGAATCATGGTAGAACTAAGAAGGTAAAGTCATGTAATCATAAGTTTACATTTTTTTTTCAAATTTGACAATATCTTATTGTCAAAATCTATATTCATAAATCCATTGTATACACACTAATTCAGAGATGGAACTGTTTGTTATGCATTGAAATTTGACAAGGTAAATTACAGAAAATGTGGAGTTGGCAAAGCTAAATCGAAATGAGGTTACCTTTTTTCATTGTACCATGGATGTAATAACAAGCCTATGTGTTTTGAGATAAAAAATATTGCAACTGTTTCTTTGTCTTAGTTTAGTTTAGTTTTAAGATATCTGTTTTCAAACAATTTTAATTGGTTATAACCATGGTACAATGAAGAGAAGGTAGGTCAACTTTGAAAAAATTGCAAGTATGGAGGTCTACCTGTTTGGCTTGTAATGTCAGAATTACTATCAAAACAATAAAAAAATCAAACAACTTGTTGCATTTACTTTGAATAAATAATTGAAAACCGCGAAAACTGAATGAAAAGTCAACACTTCTTTTCAAAACCAGGTTCTATATATCTCTAAAGGATTATTTTGCTACAAAAACTCTAGATTTTGTCGATGCATACGATGAAATAAACATTTTGAAAACATCCGAATTTGAATGTTTTTTGAACATTTTTTTTGTTATTGAAAAGAAAACACATACATAAACAAATAAAGATGACATATTAAGCCAAGAAAATAAAAAAATTGAAATCATATGGTATCATAGCCCTACCTTGATATCATTGTACCATGGTTATAACCAAGGTGTGTTTATAAGGTTATGCATCAGCTACAACCATGGCAGAAGAATACAGGTAGATGCATCAACACTTGGGAGCACTGATATGTCAAAAAATTTTAAATGTTTTTTTCAAATATGAGTAGATTTTTAAATGTTTTCTTATACGACGTCATTAGGAGGTTATTATAATTCGAGTTTTTTAACAATTTTTGCAAATTTAAATAATTTTTCATTCAACATTTTCAATTCCAAAATTGGTTTGACAGTTCATTGTCCCAGCAGCTGTGTCGATGCGTCTACCTATATTCTTCTACCATGGCTACAACAAATAACATATCACAATAACAACATTATTGTTATAGAAACTAAATTGCCATATTGACAATTAGTGAACAACATATGATCAAAATATTATACAACACAAAAGCTAGCCATAACTGGGTCCTTTGACAATGAAATCCCGTAAAAAAACTCTACCGAGAAAAAATATTTAAAGGGTCATTTTAAATATTGCCTTATACAATCCCAAAATAGATGTGAAATCAAAGGAATCTGTAATAACTTTGCTCTGGAATAACAAGCCAGTGGGCCACCATCACGTAAACAAACCAAATAAAATTATCCGAGCAAAACTACGATCCAGGTCACTCAGCGTATGGGCTAAATGAAGTGATGTAATATAATTGACATGGTAAAATAGTTTATTTGAGATCCTATATATGTCTTAAAACCACATAAAATTGCAATATAGCTGTATATCTTAAATTATGACGATAACATTCATTTTTATGACGTGATCAAAGTAGTCATTGTAACTTGATATGCTTAACTCTACTCTGAAACATTAAATTAAATCAAGGATTCTGGGTCCAAATGTCCTAAATCTTCCACTACCAGCCTTTTTAATACTTCAGGTAATGCTAATGCTGTAATAAGAATTTTCTATGAGCTCCCTTTTTAGACAATTCAATGCCGCATATTTGACTCCAACCTTTCTCCTATATTTGTCCTTTGGGATAGAAAAAAGGTCCATTTCCACAAACTTCTTTCTTTTTGCATATAACACACTTTCACATTTTGATTAGTTGAATATGAATGCAAGTTACTGTGTTGATTTCAAACAAGTAAAAAAGCTGTAAGTTCGGCCGGGACGAACTTTTAATACCCTCCACCATTTGGTACAAATTTTGGCAATTTCCAAAAAAAAATAAAAACCGTTAAAAATTTTGTTAAAATCTTAAAAATACCGAATGCTTATACGACGACGTGGACCTGCATAGGCAACTTTTTTATATGTTATTACAATATTTAAATGCGAAACTTGAAGAAAAATCTGTTTATAATGTAGCTAAAATAATCAAAATACCGAATATGGGGGTACCGTTATATGGGGGCTATACGAAGACGTGGACCTGCGCAGACAATTTTCTGGCATGGGCTGAAGTATCCATTACGAACTTCACACGCGAAATTTGGAACAATCCCGGTAAATAATGTCGCTAAAATCATCAAAATACCGAATATCGGGGGTACGGTATATGGGGGCTATACGAATACGTGGACCTACATGGCCCATTTTCTGTTTTATGCTGCAGTATCTATTACGAACTTCAAATACCAAATTTGCAACGATTCCGTTAAATAATGTTGCTAAAATCATCAAAATACCGAATATGGGGGCTATATGAAGACGTGGACCCATGGTACAATGAATTCAAGGTAGGGCAGAACTACCATATGATTTAATTTTTTTTATTTTTCTGGCTTAATATGTCAACTTCATTTGCTTATGTGTGTGTCTTCTTTTCAATAATAAAAAATTGTTCAGAAAATATTCAAATTCGGGTGTTTTCAAAATGCTTATTGCAACGAATGCATCGACAAAATCTACAGTTTTTGTCGCGAAATAAACCATAAGAGATATATAGAACATGATATTGAAAAGAAATTTTGACCATTCATTCAGTTTACGCGGTTTTAAATTATTTATTCAAAACCAATGCAACAAGTTGTTTGCTTTTTTATTGTTTTGATAGTAATTCTGACATTACAAGCCAAACAGGTAGACCTCTATACTTGCAATTTTTTCAAAGTTGACCTACCTTCTCTTCATTGTACCATGCGTGGACCTACGTGGCTCATTTTTTGACTAAGGGGGAAATATTCATTACGAACTTCAAATACCAAATTTGAAACGATTCCGGTAAACAATGTCGCTAAAATCATCAAAATACCGAATATCGGGGGGTACCGTTATATGGGGGCTACACGAAGACGTGGACCTGCACAGATAATTTTCTGTCTTAGGCTGTAGTATCCGTTACGAAATTCAAATGCCAAATTTGAAACAATTCCGGTGAATAATGTCGCTAAAATCATTAAAATACCGAATATCGGGGGGGTACCGTTATATGGGGGCTACACGAAGACGTGGACCTGCACAGATAATTTTCTGTCTTAGGCTGTAGTATCCGTTACGAAATTCAAATGCCAAATTTGAAACAATTCCGGTGAATAATGTCGCTAAAATCATCAAAATACCGAATATCGGGAGGTACCGTTATATGGGGCTATATGATAACTTGGACCTACATGGCCCATTTACGAACTTAACCTGCCTACGGGAAAAATATGTGTGCAAAATTTTAGCCTTCTATCTCAATTTGTTCGGAAGATAGCGTGATTACAACAGACAGACAGACGAACAGACAGACAGACAGACAGACACACAGACAGACAGACGGACATGGCTAAATCGTCTTAGAATTTTACGCTGATCAAGAATATATATACTTTGTTGGGTCTGGCATGAGTATTTCGAGGAGTTGCAAACGGAATGACAAAATTAATATACCCTCCATAGTATGGTGGAGGGTATAAAAAAATGAGTATCGAAGATAGGTCCGCTATAAGTAGGATAGGACCATATATAACGAGACTTTCAAATGTTAGATATTTTGAGTATCTCTCCCTGCAAAATTTTGTGAAGTCCATTTATAACGGTACTTTTTAATTCTATGTATTTTGAGGGTTTTAGTCAGAGTTTTTTTACAAACTCATTATTTGATATTTTGTTTCTCAGTTGCTGTTTTGTTGGTCTCAGTGGATCTGCCAATATAAAACCAGCCTTTAACATAGGTCTCTGCAGAGTACAATGGGGTTACGTCGCCAGAAACAGAGATACATTTAAATGAAAGCATTTCGTTGCTTCCATTCACTTGTTTTCTTTCCGATGTTCATCAGTAAAAAGAACAATCAGTAAAAAAGAACAAACCCTTTCTTAAGAGTGAAGACAAAAAGGATACATATTTTTATGAGAAAGGAGTAATAATAAAAGGTAGTCGCATCGAAACAGCTGCCGGGACAATGACCTTTCAAACAAATTTCCGATTCCCCACTAATAATGGGATAAAAACTCAAGAGAACCGCAAACGCAAGAACAACAGAACAGAAAACTAGACTAATCTAAATTCAACGCAAAAACAGTTGAAAACTCTTCACCATTTTTTTTTAAATAAAACAAAAACGGTAAAAAGGATACAAGTTTTTTGTTGATTATGGAAGATGACATTCCATACTAAAATACAAAAAATATTTTAGAACCTTCTCGATATTATTTTTTTTCAACTCCCCTCATACACACCATTATTTATAAAAATCTGTTGCGCTATATTCGATGTAATCTGAAAAGAGATTGATAAAAATTTAAATATATAAAAAATTCTTATGTTACCATGAAAATTGGAATTTGTTGGAAATTTGAAATACATAAAATAAATAATATAATAACGAAATAACACATACCATATTTATAAATTGCTAGAAAAAATTATATAAATTGCCAGACTTTTCCATTTACATTTTGGGGCGCGTACAAATTTTCAATTATGGTCGATTCCGTGATTTTGGATTTTGATGGATTGTTAGATAGGTTCCCATAGTACCTATGTACTAAGACTGCTTATTTTGGATCTGCTAAAACAAAGTGAGTAACCAGTTCGGTTCACTATGTGAATATATGATTTTGAATGTTGATGACGATAGTATTTGTTTGTTTACAATTTCAAATGTACTGGGTGAATAAAGTTGCAAAGTTCTTTGATATTTTTGGTGCGTGCAGTTTTTTTAGAATATCTAATAAGTTGTTATAATCGTTGAAAAAATGATAACCACTTCTCAGGTGGTCATATTTCTTGCATACAAATATTGAATGATTTTCCGTTTCAGGTACACTGCAAACTGTGCAGGGACTGGTGTTTGCAGCTTTAATTTGGTGAAGGTAAACTTTTGAATATGTGTGACCAGACAGCATGCGAATAACTAATTTTATTTCTCCAGGTTCTAAGGACCATGCCAGTGCCTTTTGGGAGGCGATGAAAACATTTGCGCAAAGTGAGTGCCTTTTGAAATAGATAGCAATTTGTATTTGCTAACCCATTCATCCCACAGGGTATCGTAAATTGCTGCATAAGCATCTTCATCAGCGGCTTGCTTAGCGAAGTAATCAGCAAGTTCGCTTGAGGAGATTTTCTTTTTATGCATTTCAAATTCAGCAATTCAGCTGCGCTTTTGCCAGACATTTTCCATTGTTGTTGGTTGGCAACACCACATGACAACATTGGCTAAAAAACAAATTGCTGCAAATTATTATAATATTATGAAAAGTATATCTTAATCGTATAATATGAAAAAGATGGGACATTTCATTGTTAGTTTGATTCAAAAGATGGCGTTGGTAGAAGTAAAAAATGTTATGCCACCATATTGTGACATAAGCATTACCGACACTTTTTTTAAGATTTTATGTACAGGAAACAGATTTTTGAGACCATGTATATCGTATCTGATGCTTTTCTTCGCATGCATGTTTCTGTAATAATTTCAATGCATTATTTGCCTGATCGAAACGATATACATTTTCTTTATGGTTGAAATATATATGGGAGTTATAGCTACACATTAAACGATTTTCAACAAATTTTATATACTTGCTTCTAGTCTAAATTCATCCTATTTAGGCTAATGTTACAAATTTTGTGAACAATGTACTTGAAATTGGACGAAGATATATGGCAGCTATATTCTAATCTAACTAGATTTTTTTAAGCTGCCAAAGGAAATCGGTAACTTTAAAACTCAATATTTTGATTTAAAAAAGAAGTAAAAGTTGGCAACATTGGTATCTATCGGTATTTTATGTGCGTATTTCATCAATGAAATAAAATGGATGTATATGGCAAAAATTAACTTTTTATACTATTAAAAGAATTAGCGCAATATAGTATTACTTTCGTAAGCTTATTATTATTTTTAAGCTTATAGAATAATAAAATAATAAAACCCAACCTATTGACAAGATTCTGATTGAGAATGACAAGTTGGCAATGTTAACTTTAAAGCCCATCCTTTTTCTCAGAATTTAAAAAACAAAATCACAACATAAGTTAGTGATATTTGTGTGTTTTCTCTATAATTTAAATATTCAATTATTTTTATACCCTCCACCTTGGAAAGGAGGGTATATTAACTTTGTCATTCCTTTTGTAACATCCTTAAATATTCGTCGTAGACCCCATAAAGTATATATATTCATAATCAGCATAACATTCTAAGTCGATTTAACGATGTCCGTCTGTCTGTCTGTTGAAATCACGATACAGCCCACATTATTTGAGATATATCAGTCCATGTTCTGGTATAGTCCCCATACAACGGTACCTCCCGATATTCGGTAATTTGATTATGCCACATTTTTTCACGGATTTGTCTAAAATTGGTATCTGTTGGTCATAATGGGTTCCAGCTCCGGTGGCGAAACATAGCATGTTTGCCACATTTTTCACTGATTTGTCTAAAAATTGGTATTTGTGGTTCATAATGGGTCCTAGTTCGTGTGGCGAAACAATGTATGTATAGGTCCACGTTTTGATATAGTCCCCATATAACGGTACCTCCCAATATTCGGTATTTTGATGATTTTTGACACATTTTTTTTCAAGAATTTCTCTGAAAATTGGTAGTTGTAGGTCATAATAGGTCCCAGTTTGTGTGGCGAGTCATTGTAATTAAAGGTCCACGTTTTGGTATGGCCACCATATAACGGAACCTCCCGATATTCGGTAATTTGATGAATTTTGCCACATTTTTTCACGGATTTGTCTGAAAATTGGTATTTGTAAGTCATAATGGGTGCTAGCTCCTTTGGCGAAACATTGCATTTTAATGGTTTTTGCCTCATTTCTTCTAATGTTTCCTTTATCCTAAAGTGGAGGGTATCAAAAGTTTGGCCCGGCCGAATTTAATGTTTTTTTTACTTGTTTATTTTTCAAGCCCTCTGGCGAAAGTGTTTCTATATTTTTTTTTGATATTTGGTGTACCCAAGGGGACGGAAAATTGTACCTTTAAACATAAATGAATGGATAATAACGGTAATCAGGAAGCAGTTGAAAAATAATTAAAAAATACAAAAAAAAATCTGGTAAACGATAAATATACATTTTAATGTTTTGCCTGTTTTGGGAAAAATTATTTTCGAGAGATGGCTGAAATTTGCATTTACATATATATTTCGCTAGAATTATTAACAACAATATCTGAATTAGCCCTTTCAGGGGTGTGTACGCTGGAATAAAAGAGGATTTTATTCATTAGGTTCCATATCCACACTTTTGACATAAATGTAAAAATTATATACACTAAAAATGTTTTACAGTCAAAAATAAATGTTTTTAGAAATGGATATATCGAAAATTAGAGCAGATTTCGGAAAACTGACCACAAATTCTGCAGTGCATACCGAAACCCTTGCGATATTTCAAAGGAAATCTGGTAATAATTTAGAATTTTTATACTCTCATCCTTATGCCGAATGAAATGTATACATCATTTCATATCATCAAAACAACGATTTTAGGACCAAATCTGTTTCAGGACATTTAGAGTCGCACGATAACTCTCCAAGGGAGCATCCGATTTGGTCCAAACTTTGTACATCGTAATATTATTATCAAACTTAGATCGAGTTCGGAGATGGGCAATATCGGTCCACTGCTTCTGGTTTCTCCACAAAAGGTCAGAAAATTATTTGCCTCTCAGAACAAGAAAGGATTTTGTTCAAACTTTTCACATTTTAATATTTGTATCTGTGCTAGGTCAGTTTCGCACCTGTAAATGGATAATAAGACCGAATACTTCCAGTACCTCCACTTATAAAAATGGGAACTAAGAATCCAATTGACTTAACATTTGAAGTTCAAATTTCACAAATCTACATATTTTTTTCTAACACAAGAAGGTGCGATGTATCGGTCCCCTCCTTTTGGTACCTCCGCCACAGAGGTTGACAACATTCAATACATTTATCTCTTATAACTTTGGAAAAAAATATAACAATTCTTTTGAAACTATGTATATCCATGGCACAATTACAGAAGGTAGGACAAAGCTACTCCCTAAATACATTTTTCATACCCTCCACCATACATAGTATGGAGGGTATATTAAGTTCGTCATTCCGTTTGTAACTCATCGAAATAATCATTTTAGACCCAACAAAGTATATATATTCAGCGTAAAATTATAAGACGATTTAGCCATGTCCGTCTGTTGTAATCACGCTACAGTCAAAACGAATAAAGATAGGAAGCTAAAATTTTGCATAGATCTCCCTTTTGTCTGCAGGCAGGTCAAGTTCGAAGATGGGCTATAACGGTCCACGATATCGTATAGCCCCCATATAACGGTACCCCCCGATATTCGGTATTTTGATTATTTTAGCCACATTATTTAATGGAATTGTCTGAAATTCCACAAAATGATTTCCTTGTGAGTACTTAACCCCCTGAAAGAGAATTGTCTATATAGGTCCACGATATCATATATCCCCCATATACAGTACCCCCCGATATTCGGTATTTTGATGATTTTAGCCACATTTTTCAACGGAATTTTCTGAAATTCCACACAAGAAGTTCCTTGCGAGTACTTTATCCCCTGGAAGATAATTATCGCTATAGGTTCACGGTATCGTATCGTATATATAGGGGCACCAAAAGAAAAAATGTATTTAAGGGTAGCTTTGTTCTACCTTCTGTAATTTTGCCATGGGTTATTACATCTTTCGATAGATAAAAAAATTATCTTGTCGGACACATAAATCGTTTTTCATTATTACAAGTTTCATTTAAGTATGAACTGCCCAATAAGCACCATCTTCCCTTAACCTTTTTAAGTGAAGTTTACTGAATTCATGTTGCCATATTTTATATTTATAATATGGCAATAACATCAAAATTTATTTAAATAAAGAAAGGATAACGCGAATCGTTTATTTTACATTGAAGAACTGAAAAAAAGATTTATTTCACGAAATAAATTACAAATTCGTTTTGTTTATTGTGTTTAAACTGAAATGAAGATGCCATTGTGAACAAAATGCAGTGACTATCGTTACTTTGCAAAAAGCTTGCCATATCTCTGTAAAAAAAATCAGGTCTGATTGCAGAATTGTACTAAAAGTCGATTAATCGGAAATCGAGTTTACTATCCCTAGTCTGCGGTATTTAATATTCTTGGGATTCATTCGATGTGGTCAGATTGTTCTCGTTGGTCTTTCAAATCGTTGCGTGGTTGAATACGAGTGCACGTTTTTTTTCTAACACCGTGTGTTGCAGTGCTGTCCAAGACAAAAAGTAATTTGGAATAAAAAAGAACTGAATTAAACTTTTTCTGTGACATCTACACTACATTTTACAAAGAAAGAAAAGTGAGTAAAATATCCAAATTAATAAAAATTACAAACTTTAAATGTGATTACATAATAATTTCGAAGGAGTTGGGGTACGCGATTATCAAGAGTCGAGTTCTAGAAAGTTCATGGCCCTATCGGATCTCTATGCAGGCTGTCATATTTTTTTTTTTTATAAAAGAGGTGTCGTTTGTTATAGTAGGCACTGCAGTTATCAATGCAAACCTTATAGAAAATGAAAGTATATTAATTTCATTTAAAAAAGCCGGTCTGGAATTTTTAGTCTTAGTTGCGATATATTTCATCATCTCTGACTGAACTCTAGCCATCCCATGCGTATTTGAAGACTGATTTGTCCTCTCCATTTACAAAAGTGTCGGCATAAACTTCTCACGTTATGTAAACTTCTGGATTCCACCATCACTATGCAAGCAGCAATGTACAGTACATATAGTAATCATCATAAAGGCCGGTCGAGAGGGTGTGCGTTTGACTATGTGTGTGCGTGTATACTGGCTAGTATTATATTGTGTACCAATCAATATTAAATGAATTATATAAACGTTAGGAATCTTCAGTGAGCCCTGGAACTTCAGAAAGAATTAAAATTGTATTGTCTTATTTGACTGTGGTTATCTTCATGTAGGCTATTCTTTGAATTCACAATGTTGAGCATAACAACTCAAATTCGTTAACACATCACGACACATTGCCCTGTACTCGACGTTATCAGAGAACACATGGTCTACATATGTATTAATTTAGGAATGTAAATGAAAAGATTTTAAACGAATGTTATTACTTTGACCTTAAAAGGGAGATCTACCACTTAGGAATTAATAAGTTGGCGTTAAAAATCAACAATTGACCGACAAGAGATTTCATGCGCGATATTTTGAACATTTTCCCTCTCAGACCATATAATTAGGGTAGGTCGGTCGTTCGTCACATTTTTTCTATTTATATAAAGATAAGTCATGTTTTTAATAAGATGATCTCGAAGATTCCAGATTTCACAAAAGAAACGTAAAATTTATTGATAACACTATTATTACCTTTGTTCACGCTATTCAGATCGTCCTTCTGTTACAAATACAAAATAAAATTCGAAAAAGAAAATAAACAATGCGTCCACGCATATACACTTGTTCACTTCCCTGTAATTTTCTTTGGCAGTAACCCATGCAAGTGTCTTGTTAGTAATTTAATTTCTTCTAACATTTATACAAATAATTGTATTCTTGCAAAAAGTTAAGTCAATTGTATGTTCAAAGGCCGGATTACAACGTAGATAGATTGCTTTTCACTTTTATTAATGACGAACACTCTTCTATATTAACTCTTGCAGATGTTCCGCTTACCCGTAGCTTTAGCCCGCTCGAACATCGCCCGCCAATTGGCTGTTCGTGGTTATGCCAAGGATGTCAAATTCGGACCTGAAGTCCGTGCTTTGATGTTGCAAGGTGTAGATGTACTTGCCGACGCTGTCGCTGTTACTATGGGTCCCAAGGGCCGCAACGTAATCATTGAACAATCATGGGGCTCCCCCAAGATTACCAAAGATGGCGTCACCGTTGCCAAGTCTATTGAATTGAAAGACAAATTCCAAAACATTGGTGCCAAATTGGTCCAGGATGTAGCCAATAACACGAATGAAGAAGCTGGTGATGGTACAACCACTGCCACAGTTTTGGCTCGTGCTATTGCTAAGGAAGGTTTCGAGAAGATCTCCAAAGGTGCGAATCCCGTGGAAATCCGTCGTGGTGTTATGTTGGCCGTTGAAACTGTCAAGGACAACTTGAAAGCCATGTCCCGTCCAGTCAGCACTCCAGAAGAAATTGCCCAAGTTGCCACCATCTCTGCAAACGGTGACAAAGCTGTTGGTAATTTGATCAGCGAGGCTATGAAAAAGGTTGGTCGCGATGGTGTCATTACTGTCAAAGACGGCAAAACTTTGACCGATGAATTGGAAGTCATCGAAGGTATGAAGTTTGACAGAGGATATATTTCTCCCTACTTCATCAACTCCTCCAAGGGAGCTAAAGTTGAATTCCAAGACGCTTTGCTTTTGTTGTCCGAAAAGAAAATCTCATCTGTTCAAAGCATAATCCCCGCTCTCGAATTAGCCAACCAACAACGCAAGCCCTTGGTCATTATTGCTGAGGATATCGATGGTGAAGCTTTGAGCACATTGGTTGTGAATCGTTTGAAGATTGGTCTGCAAGTCGCTGCTGTCAAGGCTCCCGGATTTGGTGATAACCGCAAATCGACCCTCACTGACATGGCCATTGCCTCTGGTGGTATTGTCTTCGGCGATGATGCCAATTTGGTGAAATTGGAGGATGTCACCATGGCCGATTTGGGCAAGGTTGGTGAAGTTGTTATAACTAAGGACGACACCTTGCTGTTGAAGGGCAAGGGCAAGAAGGAGGACGTTGATCGCCGCGTAGATCAAATTAAAGACCAAATTGCTGAGACCACCTCTGAATACGAAAAAGAAAAGTTGCAAGAACGTTTGGCGCGCTTGGCCTCAGGTGTCGCCTTGTTGCGCGTCGGTGGATCCAGTGAAGTTGAAGTAAATGAGAAGAAGGATCGTGTCCACGATGCCTTGAACGCTACCCGTGCTGCCGTTGAAGAAGGTATTGTCCCCGGTGGTGGCACCGCTCTCTTGCGCTGCATTGCCAAATTGGAAGGACTTAAGGGCCAAAACGAAGACCAAAACATGGGCATTCAAATCGTTCGTAGCGCCTTGCGTATGCCATGCATGACAATCGCCAAGAACGCTGGTGTTGATGCTGCCATGGTTGTTGCTAAGGTAGAAAGCCAAGAAGGTGACTTCGGCTATGATGCATTGAAGGGTGAATATGGTAACTTGATTGAAAAGGGTATCATCGATCCTACAAAGGTATGTAGTTTTATGCAACACTATTGATGCTATTGGTATTAACATTTTTATTTCATTTTCAGGTTGTGCGTACCGCAATCACAGATGCCTCTGGCGTTGCTTCACTTTTGACTACCGCTGAAGCCGTAGTAACAGAGTTGCCCAAGGAAGATGCTCCAGCTGGCATGGGCGGCATGGGTGGTATGGGCGGCATGGGAGGCATGGGCGGTATGGGTGGCATGATGTAAATAAATGTTACGCAGTTCTAATTCCTCCTTCAGCTTTTTTATCTTGTAATAATTTGTACGTAGTACAACTACTTATAATTTAATTTTTAATTTTAACATTTATATATTAATAATTAAAATATGTTTTAATGGTTATTTCTATTTTTACATGTTATATATGTAAATGAATACAAATCCAAATACAGTTTAATTCGTGTTAGTTGTAAAAATGAAATGAAGGAAATAAGTGTTTTCTTTTTCGAGTTACTATACTAGTGAAAATTGTAGCATATGTTTATTTCAGAGTCGGAGTACTTTTATTGGATATTTTGTTCTTGCTTCAGTACGGAATACATGAAGTTTTGACGTCCTGGGTCCGTAAAACTTGAGTTGCTCATCATTCAATGTAGAATAGTAAAAACGGGGCTATGGAAAGCTAAAATTTATGGTATTCTGTTGTCTAGAGGTAGGAAATATTCCTGCAGGAAGTTTTCGTTATATATCTAAAATATGTTCCGTCGCTCTTGCTTTTATGTGTGTCACGCTAAAATCATGTTATCCTAATCGGGAATTGGTTACTTCAACACGATAAATGCATGTTATCCGTCACATCCGTAGGGATTTAAGGGGAAATCGTCGATAACGAACTTGAACACCGTGCATCAACAGATAATAAATAGCTAAATATGAAATAACTTCCTAAACGCGTGCAGAGTATCCCAATTTAATGTCGATGTTGTGTGCGTTTAGACCAGTACTCAGCCGAAATTGACATCGGTTTGCTAATTGATGCTTTGTCTTGGGTATTTGATCAAAGTGCAATCCATAAACATTTTGGTAGGTGTGCCATATATTTCTCGACACCTAGATAGAACGTACTGCTCCTGGTAATGTAAATATATTCAACTGTCCCTCCGCATTCACTATTCCGAACTTACTTGATTCTTTTAGTTGCCACAATAATCTATTCGCTCAACTGCAGTAATGAAACAATAACAACACAGAATCCAAGGCCATAATGGGGGGAACCAAGAAGACATTTTGGGGCTGCTAGCACCGCCATTTAAATTTACTGCTGTCAGGCTGTATCATTTAATTGCTATCTAAAACAAAGGTCAAATTCTGTCAGAATCGAAGGCGATTTGTAAAGAACTATTAGTGTTTTAAATTAAACGCTGTATTCGTTTTAGTAACAAAATATATTTATTAGGAACCCCACCCAAAGAATATAGATCATTAAGAGTTGGCCAACAGTTGAGCTGCTATAATTTCTGCATCATCAAGAGTAAGTTTTGATGTTACGTTCGATTTTTTCTTTACTGGTTCGGAGAAATCTTCGTCGCTTTCCTGCGTATCGCTATCTTCACTGGTGTCACTGCTACGTGCATGCTTTCTATAAAGTTTTGTTTGTTTTACAGATGACATATCCGCATCAGAATCGGCGTTCTGATTGTTCTTGTAGACTTTTGAAGGATCGGGAAGCCAAGATAAATCAACGGAATTGTCACTTTCATCACCATCGCCATCATCATCATAGTCAACGCCTTCATCTGCGTCAGATCCTTGTTGTTCTTCTTCATCTTTTTTCTTCAGCTTTTCCTTGAGCTTTTTATGTCTTTGCTTGACAAGTGAACGGAATCGTTGTTTGTCGAATTTATCTTCTTCTTGTAAAAGCTGCTTGGCCATTTCAATATCAATACCACCCATTTCACCAAGTTTACTTTCGTATTCCTTGGCAAGTTCGGATTGTAACTGCTTGCGTGGATCGGCAATTTCATGACCCTCTTCGTCGAACTTGACCTTTTCATTGACTTTTAGATTTTTCTTAAGAGCTTTTTTGGCCAGAGCTGCTTTGGTAATGAGTTTTTCTTTTTTCCTCAAAACGGGTGGAGGAAGTTCCTCATCATCATCGTTTCCGCTCGTTTGTTGTTGGTTGTCGCCTTTGATATCATGATTAGCCCTTTTTATTTTGATAAAATCATCTCCATCAGAATCTGAATCACTTTCGGATGCCTTAAATAAAACGTCATTTGAAGGTTTGTTCTCATTCTTTGTCCTTTCCTCGTCGTCAGTGTCAGATTCGCTTTGAGTCCCTGTTTCATTCGCCTTTTTCTGTTTCTTCAAATAACGATCTAGGAAACGTACTCGTGGTGTCACAACTAGACCCAGTGATTTGGCATATGCATCGAAATCCAGTGACATAACATTAAATACTTTCTTATTCTTCATTAGGAACACCGATTTTATGTACGCCACAAAGGCCCGTTGGGCCGAAGCTTTTAATTCTGGATTTTGAGCTAGGTATGCCTCAATTTTTGCTCGCGGTGAAAAAAGTTTCTTTGGATCGATTAAAATTTTACGTACTGAAATTGATTTTTTACCGAGTTCCTCTATCATGCCTTCCTCTTCAGATGGCAAAAGAACCAGCAGGGATTCCCCACGAGTTTTGTTACGCGCCGATCGTCCGGCACGATGTATATACTGGGTTACATCCTCGGGACAGTCCAATTGCACTACCCAGTTGACAGATGGAAAATCTAGGCCTCGCGAAGCTATATCGGTGGCAAACAAAACAACATTGCTTTTCTTCACAAAGTCATTGTATATGGCAATCCTACGGTCTTGGTGGAGGGTTCCATACAAAGCGAGCAGGCTGGTACCCGGCCTCAGTTTACAGAAGATTTCAAATATAAACTTAACTTGTTTACAACTCGAGAGGAAAACAATTATCTTCTGTTTTAGATGATTCTTAATAAATGACCATAGCATTGTGATTTTGTCTTCTAGAGAAACCACGACATAATTCTGTTGCAGAAGATCCGGCACAACTTTCGGGATAACGCTGCTTCCTTCCTGCTTTGCTTGCGGTTGGCCAACAAAAACTGGATTTTTTAGATTAAGGCGCGCCAAATCCTTAACTGAACTTGTTTGCGTGGCGGAGAAGAGCAATGTCTGTCGGTCAGGTGGAAAATTTTCGATTATGGCATTCAATGTTTGTTCGAAGCCCATGTCAAGGCACCTGTCCGCTTCGTCCAACACTAAAACTTCCATAGTAGATGCATTAAACAGCGGATTCTCGTCCATATGTTGTAGGAGACGTCCAGGGGTACAGATTAAGATGTTGCATTGATCCATTCGTGAACGTTCGAACTTTAAGTTCTTACCACCGATAATCAATCCAGCTGAGAAGTCGTGGTGTTTTCCCACCTTCTTTAACGTTTCGAAAATTTGATAAGCTAACTCCCTAGTCGGTGATATAATAATAGCGGCAACTCCGTCTGAGCGACTCCATTTGGCCACATATAAATGTTCCAGCACCTGTTGATGAAAAAATTAGCAATCTAAAATGGAGTAAAATTATACCAAAGTCGACTTGCCGGAATTAAAAATGCCAATGTTTTACCACTGCCTGTTATCGCTGCTCCCAGAACATCTCTACCTTGGAGAGCTGGTGCAATGCTCAAACGTTGAATCTCGGAGGGCTCGGTAAACTTGGCATCGTTCAAGCCCTTGATCGTCTTTTTTGAAAGCGGGAATTCACTGAAGCGTTTAATGGCTGAAACATCCTTTGACGACAGCTCATCGTACTGGGCCTTCAAACTCTGAATTTCACTGTCCAATAAATCTCTTTGAGAAATTGGTTTCGTTTTCTTTGGAAACGCACGTTTTTCTTTCATATCGAATGTGTGTGTTGTGATACTGTGTCGGTCCGAAATGAACAAGTCCAAACTAATTTATTCTTTGGAATGAACTATCGGAATTAGATGCAAACCTTCTGTTCATCTAGTTCATTCACTTGATCTTGTTAATTTAGTTCCAATCATGGCTCAATAGGAAACTAGGAAGTGCAAATCTGTACGGAAGTCTATAGTGTGAAACATGGTACAATAAAAAGGTATGGTAGAGCTACCAGCTGATTACAATTTTTTTTAAGTGTGCCCGACTTCTGCCATTTTTGTAAATGTATTTATTGTTTTGAAAAATAAAAACCAAATATTTTCAAAATCAATGAATGGAAGAAGCTTAAATTGCGGGGCGCTCACTAATGATATTAACCAGATTTGCCACGGAATCGAAAGATTGAAAACTTAGGATCATATTTTTGAGAAAATATCCAGACATTTCATTCATCTTTCGAGCTATTTGACTCATTTTAAAAATGAACAAAAAATATCAAATAAATGAAAACAACAGTTGGATATAATTATGAATTATTCTGACAGGAAGCGGGCATAGCCTCAGGGCTGTATTTCTGTAGTTTTACGAAGCTGTTCTACCTCCTTATTGTACCATGGTGTGAAATAGACTTTTAAACATGCAACAAGTGGTTTTGTTTATTTTACATTTTTTCACAACTTTAATACATTTGGGGGAAAACCACAAGACATGAATTCGATATTGGGGTTTTTCCACAAAAATGAATCCAAGATAGAAGGAGAATATTGTTTTACCCTAAAATTATACATTTTGTTGCTTGTAAATGTGGAAAATATGCATTTCTGTTGTCTCTAAAGTTAAAATACGTTCAATTTTTTTCTTTTTGATTCGAAACATTGTTTTGTGGGTAGGTTTGTTCTACTTTCTGTAATTGTGCCATGGTACAGGAACAAAAATGTTGACATTATGAAGGTTTAGTGTATTTAATAAGGTGTAATTGACAATTATATGGTTTTTAATTTTTTTTTATTTTTGTTTGTGAATAACATTATCAAATATATGTTTTCACATTGCCTTGCTTTGAACGTTACTTTTTCCCATTAAATATTATATATTTATTTATTTTTTTAAATCAACACCCTAACTTGCATTCATCTTCTACTTATCAAAATTCGAAAGTGTATTTTATGCAAAAAGAAAGAAGGTTGCGGAAATGGGACCTTTTTTACTGTCCTTTTTTGCTGTGACCAATGTAGGGAGACACATGGCTCAATAAGAAAGATTGTTTAACAAAATTGAAAAAATGTATTTAGGGGGTAGCTTTGTTCTACCTTCTGTAATTGTGCCATGGAGACAAGCTTCAGTTCGGTTAAATTACAAATTGAAGAGCGGTATGTGTATGATATGTAACCATAAAGATTTTATTCATATTACTTATTAAGGCGGAGCAAGGAAATTCCGTTGAACGAAGGAATTATTAAGGCATCTATAAATCTTATGAAGCAATCAGAAGATGAAAAAATTGTACTATTGCCATGGACGAAAGAAATGTATGAATATGATGCTGACGGTTGTATCATAGTAGTTCTTGCAAGTGGAATAAGGAAGTCGTGGAAACAACTAATTTTTTTTATCAGTTTGTCCAATGACGTAGGTTATACTATAATAACTGCATAATGCAGGACATGGGACATTCAAACAGAAAATTGTTAAAATTCATTTATAGTTTTTGTTGTTTGGTTTAAATTTGTATTAATAAAACGTTGTGTAAGAGTAGTCTATTTTAAAAAATAATAGTTTTACGCACCAACATATCCAATAATACAAACAGCATTAGCATCACCAGTGGTAGATTTAAGATGGAATGAGTATGTATACCCCTATATCTAGGAAATTTCGACCCAACTTAATTAAGAATTCTTGATTTAGTAACATTTTCTCGGAGTATGTAGATTTAAGCATATCAAGTCACTATGATTACGTTGATCACGCCATAAAAACGAATGTTATCGTCATAATTTAATATAGAGTTATATTGCAAATTTATTTGATTTTAAAATACAGATAGTTATTTAAACAATGTGTACAATTTAGGTAATGTCTCTTAAGATATAGGATCTCAAATGAACTACTTCACCACCTCAATTATATTCCATCGCTTCATTTTGATGGCAGCCCACTGGCTAGTTATTCTAGAGAAATTTTATGACAGGTTTCATTGATTTAATACCTTTTTCGGGATTGTATACGGCAATATTTAAAATGGCCCGTCAAACATTTTCTCTCGGCAGAGTTGTTTTACGGGATTTCATTGATAAAGTACCCATTGGCCGCATCATATGTTTTAAATACCTTTTGTGTGGTCATATAATTACAGAAATGCACCTACTCGGAAGTCAAAACGACCACTTTCATTCCATAAGGACTATCGAAGGTCCAGCGTCCAAATCACTTAGACATTTTGCTACTCCTAAATACGTTTTAAAAGTGCTGTTGTGCTATTACTGGTCATTATTTGTTCCAATTTATTTACCAAAACTTTTGTTTTGTTATTTGTTTTTCATTCAAACTAATTGTTAATATGACAATTTGCGTAATACACCTTGGTTCGGCTCATGGCATATGGTCTGTTTCAGAACTGTAAGAATGTATAAATGTTTACTACGATAAGCTGTTTTTATTTTATGCTACCGAAAAAATTGCAAACCCAGTACATTCTTGCAGTTTTCTAGGAACAGAGCAATTGTATCTATATTAAAAGTTGTGAAATAACTGACTGAGGATCGACGTCCAGGCGAAACGGGTCAGTCTACTTATTCTAGAAAAAATTAGACCATGGTTTAATAATGAGGTAAAAAAGCTAAAAGTACAGAAATACAGCCCTGAGAATCATTCAAAATTGTATGTAACAAGTTGTTTTCATTTGTTTGATAAGTTCCTTATTTCTGAAATAAGACAAATGGGAACAACTCTAGTTTAGTAAAAACTCTTCGATTTTTTTGATTTTTTTTTCAGAGGTACGTAATTTTACCCTGTTTCCGGGCAACTATTTTTTTTCCTAGGAGACGGACACGGTACACCAGATTTTTGACTCGAAAGTCCGAGTTCAAGACCAGGGCTGGACCCGGATCCACTTACCCGATATAGACAATATAGGCATCATTTGAAAGCATTTTTGGTTGATACCCATAATGGGCAATTTTTCGAAATATTGGGGGTTTTATAAAAAATCCGGGACCAAAAAAATCGAACATTTAAAATGACCCCATCATGTGATCACTTGTTGGATAGGTATTTTCATAAGCTTTCCAACGGGTCAAAAATCTGGGGTCTCGTGTCCGTCCCCAAGAAAAATATAATTTCCCGGAATCAGGGTAAAAATACCTACTATACGTTTTTTTTGCGCGCGTCGCAAATTACTTTGGTTTCAATCATTGATTTTCAAAATATTTTGTTTTTATTTTTCAAAACAATAAATACATAAAAAATGGCAGAAGTCAGGCACTCTTAAAAAATTGTAATCGGCTTGTAGCTATCTTACCTTTTTAATGTACCATGAGAGCAACTGATTTCGGATAAGGCCCATTAAACAGGTAATATAAGTCACAATGAAAAACTAAAATTGAAATTAAAAAATCTCATACTGTCAAAATGTCTGTTTTCGTTTCAGCTAGTTTGTCAAATAATAAAACATGTATTTTAATTGTTTAAAAATAAAATTATTCTAGATTTTATAACTTCTAAACTCATATCAAAATCTACATTACAGTACACAGAATTAAAGTCAACACACATTTTACTAAGAGGTTCGCGCATTGAATAATTCATGCGGTAAAATCGGTATATAATAATTGGTAGCATCTACTAGATCCAAACCTAACATTAATTCTAATATATGAGATTAGGAAATCTGAAGGTATATTACCATTTTTAGTACACACATGAAGTTAAACATAATACGTCTGCTTTTAAGTGAAGGCAATCTAATTAATTTTAGTCTGCTAGCATAAGAAGGCAAAACAAAATTACTATTCCAATGTAATTAGCAGAAATTGTTTTTGCACGGATTCTATTTTATCTGAGTATATTGCATATTGAGGATCCCATACAACAGAACCGTATTCTAAAATATGTTAACAAGGGACTAGGCCTTTCCAGGCCAGGGAGTAGATTCTTGTTCTATGAAAATATGAAATGAAAAATATTCCCCGTATAAAATTTTTCATTTGTCATTTCTTTCCTTTATAAAAGTTTTAATTTCACATTTTTACAGAACAAGAATTGAGGCCCAGATACCACAAAATTTGTTTTTTACTATTTTTTTAAAAAAAATATGTCGTTGTTACAATAAAACATGGTACAATTCTATGCAAAACAGTAGATCTAGACTAATCTTCTAAATCGAATATTGTTATTTATCAAACAAAATATATTTTCACATCTGAATGACAAGGTGAATATTTTACAAAATTAAGAAATAATCTTTTAATTTAAAACTTAGATGACATTACATTAATGAATATTATTATCAATGGAAGCAACATTTTCAGAGGTACTGTGAAGGATAGAAATGCAAATGTATCTGCGTACTCGATATTTTACAACAATGATATTTTCTCAAGAAAATCGTGCTGATAAAGCCTAAATTTAGGAAAATTTGTTAAAAACCCGCTCTTCTCGAAACTCAACCTATAAGCTGGAATCAAAATGTATCACCCCTATTGAAGTCGTAAATCCGATCTGCAGATTGTTGATAGCTGAGTACAAGATTAAGAACTTTGCTATTTTTGCGATTGATGCATCCGTATTAAGTTTTTTTAACTGCACATTTTTGTTTATTTTAATTTTATTTCACATCGTATTGTTTGGGGAGCTGGAGGACGGAAGAACAAGATTCTGAATTTTACTGAACGGTCTCTTAAATTCCAACCTAAAGGCCGTATTTTTACGTCACTGTTACTAACAATTTGGACATTTCATGGTATATTAACACTCATTGTGTTCCACATTCGAATTATTGTTGAAAATTATTCGTATATGTCTGTTCATTAATGTTTTAATCATGATAGACTCTAGCTTGCATTATTTCCCATCAATACTTTAAACCATGATTCAAACATTACATATTTACTAACAACAAATGCAACGAGTTGTTTTGTTAATAGACATTTTTCTAAAAATATTTTTATTTAAGAAAAAAAAAAAAAAAAAATAGTGAAAAATAAATTAGACTTCACGTATTTTTAACGGATGATTAGGTTTTTTCATACCAAGCAAAATGTATCTTCCCCAGAAGCTGTAAATATGAATTTTTAATTTCAACAGAATTTAAAAGTCTTCGGAATTATTTTGTATATTATTCAAAACAATATTAAAATATATACGCATAAAAAACTGTGCGTGTGCTTTGCCATTACAAGATTAATTCGGCCGGGCCTAACTTATAAAACCCTCCACCATTTGGAAGGAAATGGAAAAAAAATTGTAATTGGAAAAAATCAAAAAAAAAAAAAAAAAAAAAAAAAAAAACGAAAACTACAACCTAAATGAAAACCGTTATATAGGGACTATACGAAGACGTAGACTTGGACCTGGACCTTTTTTTGTCATAGGCTGTAATACCCATTACGAACTTCAAATACGAAATTTGAAATAATTTCGGTAAATAATGTCGCAAAAATCATGAAAATACCGAATATCGGGAGGTACCGTTATATGGGGGCTATACGAAGGCGTGAACTTGCATACACAAATTTTTGTCATAGGCAGTAGTACCCATTACGAACTTCAAATACGAAAATTGAAATAATTTCGGTAAATAATGTCGCAAAAATCATGAAAATACCGAGTATCTTAAGGTACCGTCATGTGGGGACTATACGAAGACGTGGACCTGCATACGAAATTTTTTTGCCATAAGTTGTAGTACCCATTAAGATCTTTCAATACGAAATTTAAAACTATTCCGGTGAATAATGTTGCTAAAATCATGAAAATACCGAATATCGGGAGATACCGTTATAGGGGGATATACGAAGGCGTGAACTTGCATACACAAATTTTTGTCATAGGCTGTAATACCCATTACGAACTTCAAATACGAAATTTGAAATAATTCCGGTAAATAATGTTTCTAAAATCAATGAAAATACCGAATATCGGAAGGTACGGTTATATGGGGGCTATACAAAAAAGTTAACCGACATGGCTCATTTACGATCTTAACCTGTCTAATGGTAAACTATGCATGTATGCAAAATTTTAGCCTTCTATCTCAATTCGTTCGAAAGATAGCGATATATAGAATATACATACTTTGTAGTGTCTATTATGAATATTTCGAGGAGTCACAAACGGAATGACAAAGTTAATATACCCTCCAAAAAATGGCGGAGGGTATAAAAATGTATTCAGGTTATTTCTATGCCCTACATTGGAACTTATTGTACTATGCTTCAAACTATGGAGAAAATTCCTCATTTAATTATATTACAATCCTGTTTTACATAGAAGACATTTCAGTAGGATTTCCTGTTTTTGTTCTTCTTTTGGTTTTAAGTAGTCTTAATAAAAAAAATTATGTACTAAGAGCTATACAATTGATTCATAAAATCGTACATGATTATAAGTATTATTCATAAACACCCACCTGTATAATTTGTTGAAATCACATCATTTATAAATTTAAAGTAACGAAATTCAATATGCGCTTCATTTGTATTTTAATAAAAAGTAAAGATTTCCATTTAATTTGAAAAAGAAAAAATACATTTCATTTTAAAAGGTGTAATTTAAGATAGAAAATGATTTGTTTCGTTTGGAAAAGTTTCATTTTGTTTAGAAAATATGTCATTAGGAAATATGTTTTATTTCCTTTGGAAAACTTTTTATAAAAGATTTAATTTGATTTGGAAATTCTATGTAAAAGTTTAAGTAAGCTTTTCATTTTGTGTTTCAAAAAAACGTTATCATTAAAACAACCTAGTCAGCCTCGGTGTGTGGTCAGCCCAGTCGGCCTTTATGCTTTGCACCTCATTTACCGAACACTCTTTGGTCTCTATTCGTATTCACATAGTTTGGAACGCTTTTAAATTCTGCTTTTGTTTTCTTAGTTATTTTTCGTGATATCATCTTGAAGCAATGTAAAATAGTTCTCCATGTAATAAATATATCTGACAAACTGTTGAGATGCCAATACTGTTGGCATATTGTGTCCGAAAAAATATTAAATATTTTAGAAATCAATTTTTGTAATTGTTGTGTTTATTTTTTTGAAAGATACTAAGAAGTGAGGAATAAATAAAACAAAATATTGACATTTCGAGCGCTTTGGAGAAATTGGAGGAGGAAAACCCGAAATTGAAACAGGTGGGTGCACATATAGATAAAAAGAGTTTCTAATCGAACTTCTTTTTAGGCCGCAATATTGATACAAATAGAGAATCCAAAAAATATGTTCGGCAAATAAGCTTTTGTTTGTGTGCTTGGGTGTCTAAGCGATGTCTCATCAATTCAGTGTTTCTTTTTTGTGCTATTATTAACCAACTTGAGAAATTGTAATCAGCTGTTTTGTTGTCGTTGTAAGCGTACAGTGGATACTAGCTTTGAACGACGAGTTCGCTACAGTCATTGAACGGGAGCGTTAACAAAAACTATCGCAAAAACTTTGTTTTAGTTTTTTAATAGTTGGACATTGTTGCTCTGATTATGTAGTTGGATATTTTTGATCTGACCCTGGCTATTCACTTATCTAACCGAAAAGTGAACAACTCTAGATTAGTAAAAACTCTTCTATTTCTTCTTCTCTTCTATTTCTTCCAGATTTGGGGAAACGGATCCATTCTTGGGGGACGGATCCAGGACCCCAGATTTTTGACCCGAACGTTCGGGTTCAAGTCCGGCCTGGACCCAGATCTACTTTGACAATATAAGTATCGTTTGAAAGCTTATGACAATATCTATCCAACAAGTGGTCAGTCATTCGATCCAGAGTCTGGATTCTTGTTCTATGAAAATAATGTAATAAAAAATATTTTCTTTATAATTTGCCATTTATTGTACCCGCCACTACACTGTGGTACAGGCTATTATGCCTTTTGTAACATAAAAAAAGGAAACGAGATCAATCATAATTTCTTTTGATGATCCACATGGAATCACATTCAGAGTCGATTTATGCATGTGCGTCGATCCATGTATTTTTGTAAATAAATTTCTGGTTGTATTTATTGTTCGATTAGGCTGAATATTTGCATCATTCATTTGCTTGGGGCAAGAAATATATTGGTGAAAATCTATACAGATGTAGTTTTATCTCCTATATATGTGTTTCATCCGATTTAACAATTAAGTTCACCACAGCCATAATATGTAGCCTACAACAATGGTTTTCCTCACAAGATATCAGATGCTGCCGAGAAATACTCTTGACAATGTGTGACGAAATCGGTTCAGATTTGTATGTATATCCCATATATATATATATATCTGTGTCATTGCACTACCAAATAGTTTTGATTTAATAATTGGGGACATAGTCAAGTTTAGTGGAAATCGATTAAGATACAGCTTTTGTTGGTTAGTTTTATCCGACTTCAATTTAAACCCGCCCTAAAGTTGTAATACGCAATTAATACTTAATTTGCTACTAAAACTATTTATTTGTTACAGGTGATTCCTAACTCGTTTTCTTATAAAAGTCTTGATTTCCAGTTTACAAAGAACATCTTCAAAAAAAAAAAAAAAAAAATGATCCCTAGTTTTGCTTAATCGATTTCCAAAATCATTTAAAAGTATATACGTTATGTGGCGTTTCCACTGCACTTGATTCGCTCTCTATTCGTTGTTTGACCCTTAACTATGAAAAAACTACCTAATTCTTCACACAAAATTTCCTGAGCGAACACTCATATTTGTACGTTGTTCAAATCAAATCACTCTCAGAACAACGAAAAAATATGTCCCATCCCTAACAAATGAGAGCATTTATCGAAAAAATAAATTATTACATTTAAAAATTAAAAATAGAAAAATTTGATGAAATTTTAAAAATTTTTGGGAAGACTGAAAATTATGAATGAAAACTACAATATTGAATGGCGTATGTACATTCAAACGAAAGTAAATTTTGTTTTCTCTCTCATTCGAGGTACGCATTTTGTCCACGAGTTAAAATTTCCACAGAAAACGCAAATAAAAGAGGCAACATTTTCAAAATGTTTCTATCGGCAGAAAAAATGTTAGACAAGTGTCTCTCCAGCAGAATTTAAAAATGGAAAAACACAAAAATGTGTTCAAAATGTCAACATTTACACAAAAAGTTGAAATCGTGAATGAAAATTGTAAAATTAATGATATAATAAATCTTTGGGAGGAAAACAATAATTTCTTCTATTCATATTAGTGAGAATTTCATGTATTTTCGTATAAATTCCCATTAAAATCAACAAACAAAATTTTTGAAAAAAGGAATTATTTTACTATGAATTACGAATCGTGCCGTATGAACGGGTTAATTCGTGTACCTAATTCTGAGAGCGAACAACTTGATTGAAAGTGCATTGAGAACATAGCATTATTCATAAATTTGAATTCACACGACTCTAGCATTCGAATTGTGTTTTTCAAATGTAATCAATCTGCCCCACCTTGTAATGATTGTACCATGATTGTTTTTGTTTAATTTTATATTCCTTTTTTTTTTGAAATACTTATTTGGATTCTAAGTAAAGCCCCTGCATGTGGGTGAGCCTCTTGTTTTGTAAAAATCTCGTTCAATAATGCATTGATAAATCATGACGAAATGAAAAGTCCTTGGAGATGATGGATACTTTTAAAGTCTATATAAATATAAAACGCGTCGTCTTCGAAATCTCATGATTGACATCTGACTAAGCAAATACAGCGAACCAATCCCTTTTGTAGTATGCTTTGGGAAATGCAATTTGTGAAATTAATTTGCAGATATTCTATAATTGAGGCATCGTGTATCGTTAAAAACCAAACAACGCAATTTACGCGGTGGTCCATACCTTTAGAATAGCGGTTGAAAATTGTGAACCTAAAAGCAGAGTTTTTATAAAACAAAATACTATGGTATCCCGAACAAACAAGCCAAACACTGTTTATTAATAGACAATGCACGATCGACACAAAACGAGACAAAACCAACTTACATGGTTATGCTACTTCGTTCAGGTTGAACGAAAGCATAACAAGTGGAGAAATATGTAAATGTTTATAAGTCTTTGGTTCCTCTTCTATTGAGCTTACGATCTCGTCCTTGGGTAAAAAATGTTTTTTTTTTTTGTCATAGAAGTTATTTTTAAATAACTTCTGGGGAGAATATCCCAGACAAAAAACAAGGGAACTGATGAGGATTGGTGGCTCTTTCCGAAACCTAGGTATTCCCTGCCTTACCCCCTGGTAAATATTACCATCGTTCTCCACTAATAAACAAACGTTGTTTTTATTAAAACAACAATAAAGGGATAAAGCCTGACCATTTTACAACAACAAAATACTATGGTATCCTGAACAAACAAGCCAGACACTGTTCTATAAAAATTTACGTTTTAAAATTTAGATTTTTGTTCCTTATAATATACAGTAAACCCTATGTTTGCTAGAACTAAACGTTTGTTTCGTGATTTCTATTGCCCAATACTGTAGGTTGACAGCGCCATCTTAATATTAGATATAGGTTGGATTGTGGCTTTGCTACAATAATGAATTCAGCGTTTAACAAAAGATTTTTAGATCTTACTGAATAAGGAAAACTTTGAAAATTATTGCCCGTAAAGCCAAACAAGCGCAAGCGGAATCCATTGAATCAAAATTTTTCATCCTATATCGATCAAAATTGATTTAAATATGTCAATTTAATCGTGATTTTATTGAAATTTTCGGTAAAAACTACAGTGGTGCAATAATTTCCAAGGTAGGACCATGGTACAATGATATCAAGGTAGGGCTATGATACCATATGATTTTAATTTTTTTATTTTCTTGGCTTAATATGTCATCTTTATTTGTTTATGTATGTGTTTTCCTTTCAATAACAAAAAAATTGTTCAAAAAATATTCAAATTCGGATGTTTTCAAAATGTTTATTTCAACGTATGCATCGACAAAATCTAGAGTTTTTGTAGTGAAATAATCCTTTAGAGATATATAGTACATGATTTTGGAAAGAAGTGTTGACCTTTCATTCAGTTATCGCGGTTTTCAATTATTTATTCAAAATAAATGCTACATATTGTTTGATTTTTTATTGTTTTGATACTAATTTTGACATTACAAGCCAAACAGGTAGACCTCTATACTTGCAATTTTTTCAAAGTTGACCTACCTTCTCTTCATTGTACCATGGGTAGGACCAAGTCCTATGTAAGGTCGGACAAAAAAACTACTTTTGATAACAATTTGACAATGAACTTAGCAGCTTTAGGACTACTCTAATTTGTCTCTTTTTGAATTTCAAATCACAATTATGCATTTTGACAGCAAATGTATGATCTGTTCGAGTACTTGCAAGAATCTACTATTTTTTGGAATTTTCTAGGGAAAATCGGTTATCGTAGTAAAAACTTTTACATTCAAGCAAATCTGTAACAGACTAAAGGTGTAAGTATATAAGTTATATAAGTAGCTTGATGTCATGGCTAGGCATATTCTGTGACATTTAATGAAGGGATTACAGAGCCGCACTAAAATCCTGCCGTCGTTTCCATTATAATTTGACATTGATATGCCTAGCCATGACTTCAAGCTTTTTATGTACTTGCACCTTAAAGTCTTCGCATGACATATTTGTGATATGTCATAAAGGGATGCCAGAGCCACATTCGTCGTTTCCCTTCATAATTTGACATTAATACGCCTAGCCATGATGCCAAGCTACTTACATATGTAAGCTCACCATAATTGTTTGGAATAATAAACCAAATAATTTTGAAAATTTTTAAATTTTGTTGGAATTTGATTTCATATTTAAATCTTTTGGGGAGAATAAATGTTTTCTTTTTGGTTTTAAAAATGAATTGTAATCGTATTAAAACTCCATAATGTATAAAATCCGCCAAGTTAAATTCAAAGTTTCAGTTGGAACAGAAGCATTTCCCTTTTTGAGTTTAACATGAGACCTTTAATTTTTACCTGGCCATCTGATGAGCGGGAAAGATAACCAAGTTCGACTAGACCATTTTATTTCGAATACTCTTGAACACAAATTAGAAACTTAAATTGCGCTTTTCTTTTGTGTCTGTTCATATGTTTGCAATGGCATGGCATTTGCATGTCCAACAATATTTCCAGATTGAGCCCTTGAAGACACATTTACCACATACATTAATGGAAGTAGTCCCTAG